GTTTATACTTGCTCAGTGCAGCAACAGCTGGCATTACCGGTGCTGTAACGAATGTTCTCACGCTGATACCCGCTATTCTATTCCAAATTCGCTTCATAGATCCCACGAATGTCTATCTTTCAACGTTGGACACACTTGGTTATCTCACACTAATGCTCACGACTACGGTCATTGCCGTTGATCGATTTGCATTCTTTTATTTTGACAAGGTAATTTTTAAGCTACACTTAGAAGTCGATTCTGCTCAAAGACCTTTTCATTTGTAAGCCATGTGCGCTAATAGTTGAGTGGAGCCTAGGCCGCCACTACTCACTGGGTTATATGCTCAAGCCTAACCCTCATCTTAGCCTTGAGCACGAGACAGTGTGTAACTATAACCTTAGGCCGAAGTCACAGCCTATGCCACCTTGGGCTACAATCATCACGCATCACTGGTGGCTGGGCCTGGAAGGGAAACTGAGCGTGTTCCCTACAAAGTCAAGAGATTTTGAAAGAGACATTGTAAATGTTAGAAAAAATTGGATCATGCTGTTTGCAATGTTTGTGATGGACCGCGCATGCGTTTCCATCCAGATAAGCAGAGGAGAGTCAGCACTTAGAAATCTGCCCTAATTTACGCCTCAGAGATTGGACTGCCCGCACGCAGGACGAGCATGCGGTCAGAATATCCAACATATAATATTATACAATATTTCTCGGGATGTCGAACGAACACCTAGACGACCGCCTCGCCTAACGGTCAGGCTTAAAGAAAGCCGAAAGAAAAGGGAAAGGCTGTGTGTCCCTCGAGCGAGAAGGACCCTCTGGAGCACTCTTGCTCACGACAGGGAAGAATGGAGGGAGATGTTGCTGGCGCCCGCTCGATCCACGCTAGCAAATCGATGATCAACGGGACAACGTGTGATACAGGTGGCAGAGAAAAGAAGAATAGGACACTCAGTAGCATTGGTTCCATTTTAACACATTCACGACGACGCCCCTTTTCCACTTTTCGGTCGCGTGGGACGGACGCGATTTTGTGGGCGCCGCCGCCTCACCACATAACCGCAGATTTTGTTTTGTAAATGAACAAAAACATGAATGTCACAAAATAATTTCTGCAATGTCCAATGCGTAAAGATTATCTAAACATATAACAGTAGGATTTCGATCAGAACGACAAATAGTGGTTACGAAAAGAGAGCATTTATTCACTTTCCCCGTGAAGGAATTTAAAAGCATTTTACACTCGATTACGAGGTTTGCCCACCTATCTGTCCATTCCTAGCGCCTGGCAAGCGATTATCAGTTGGCAGCCCATATGGGCTGCCATCGTCCCAGGAGCGCATGTTGTTGGCAGCCCATATGGGCGGCCATCGGCGTGAATGTGTTAAAAAACCGAGGAGACATTGCTAGGCAATGAAAGTACCCACTGCTGAAACTTGGACTTCACGATGTTATCAGACGTTTAGGTGCACTCCCGACTTAAAGCTGCTTACTATCCATTGTGTTGTTTTGCTGCTTTGCCATGGATACTTGCAATAACAACTACTACGGCTATGAATTTGCATGGCTGCTATAAAAGAACTGATCCGTTCGCGCTTGCATACACATATGATTGCAGGTGAGTCGCTTCACAAAAAAAACCACATCAATCTGTCCCCTGGAAATCGAAGTTTTGCCTTATGACTTGAATGCAAGCTGATGTTCAGTTAGTATACGAATTTGATGGGTCTATC